CCGCGGAAAAAGTACCTGGCCGGCCGGGTCCCAAGTGGGGGCCGCTTGTCTTTGCGTCGTCTCCGCCACGCATGTGTCCCACCGCACACCCGATAGCAACCCATACGCACCCCAAGATAATCACACCAATCCAATGGCTTCGGAGGTCGTAGTCGGATGTGGTTGGCTGGGGTTTGTTGTGCTTTGTCGTAAACATGCGTGGGGATGGAGACGGCACGAATTGCATCGCATGTTTCCATGCGTTGAACCTTCGAAATAGTTTCCGATTGGAGTAGGTGGGTGGAGTTCAGGAGTGTAGTACTCGAGTCAGAGGCCTCTGCGATCGCAGAGGTAACACTGCAAGTGTCCTTGCGGTTGTGCATCGTTATGTACATTCCTCCGCGCAGACCCACTGCACCCTGATGTTCCACCATGTCAGTAGTCCACCAAATAGTGCCGTGGATGGTGAAGAATAAAGTAAAGGCTGGCCACCAAAGGCCAGCGCCACTACCAAGTTTGAAGGGGGCCACTGGACCCGACCAGAAGATACGTTTTAGGCGTAGCACAACTCCAGCTCTGTTGTACCGTATTCGCGATAGTCCCAGTAGCAGGGGATCGTCGCGGGAGCGACGAGCCATCTCAAGTAAAATATGTTTTGGTCTCGATGGCAAATGGTACGCCTCGCATTGACGTGTAGTCAGATCTGGGCGGCCGGCCGCTTGAACACAAACGGCCGCGGACACACGCTCTTTACCTCTCGCCTGTATCCCAACTCACTTTAGAGTGGGGACACCAGAAGGTACCGATACCGCTACTCCCCGGACCTCTCCTGGAGTGCGTTCTGACCAGGATTTCGAGGCGAATCTAGCGGTGGCGACGAGGGCCTCCAAGGAGGCCCAAAAAGGGGAAAACGAGGGAAGGGTAGCGGTATGGGTACCTTTTCCTCCTTTGAGCTCATACCTGCACGTGGTTGGGTCCCTCGCCAAGCTGATTCTGGTCCGCCCCGCCCAAGACGCGATCCGCCCATAGAAAGGCCTGCACGCCTGTGCCGCCGAGGAGGCACGGACACGGGTCAACACCGGCAGCGGGTACTTGCCCAGGCTGGTACGATGGGCCTGTTTTCCACCACCACCACCGTAAGTTGAAGGGGGGAAAGAGGTTGGTATTGGTCTGAACCGGTGTGGATATGGGCCCTTGTGCGTCCCGGGAAATGCAGGCTCAGCAAGTTACGGTTGTGGGGCTGGGTAGTTCCGAGCTTGGGAAGGTACCATGATGCGCCTGTTTTCCACCACCACCACCATGAGTTGGAGGGGGGAAGGAGGTGGAGGATGACGAGGAGGAGGAAGAAGACGAGGGGGAGGAGGACCCCTTCCCCCCTCCAACTTATGGTGGTGGTGGTGATGGAAAACAGGCACATCATGGTACCTTCCCAAGCCTGGAACTACACAGCCCCATAACCGTAACTTGCTGAGCCTGCAATTCCCAAGACGCACAAGGACCCAAATCCACAAAAGGCCAGACCCGTAAACTACACCCCCCGCAATTACCCGTAGCAAAAAACAACAGCAGACCCGCAGCTATCCAAATACCGTAACTACAGAGCCCCTTACCTGCCCAGGCCCGCAACTCCCCAAACCCGCAAAGACCCAACCTGGTACCTACCAAGACCCGCGACTACCTGAACCTTTTAACAAAAAAACGTCCCTACCCTCAACTATAACCATGCAAAACCACAAGTCCCCAAAGTCAAACAGTTCCCTAAGACACGCAAGTTCCCTAAGACAAGTCCGCGCGAACCAAAAGTCGCGTGAACACAAGTCGCCTAAGACACGCAAGTTCCCAAAATCGAAACTGCCCCAAACAATAGCTATCCAAACCCACCACTACCAACGTCCGCAACTTCCCGAGAGCGTAGATGCCCCGACCAGGGCCTGCCTGGGGCGCCTGTTTGGTGAGCCTGCTTGTGGTGCCTGCCTGGGGTGCCTGCCTGGGATGCCTGCCTGGAATTCCTGGCTAGGCTGCCTGCCTGCGGTGTCTGCTTTGCGTGCCTGGCTGAGTTGCCTGCGCGGGGTGCCTGCCTGGAGGGTGCCTGCCTGGGGTGCATGCCCGAAGCGCCTGCATGGAACGCCTGCCTTGAATTTGTTGCTTGGGATGCTCGCCGTGGGCCTGCTTGGCGAGCGTGCGTGGGGTGGCTGCGTGGGGAGCCTGCTTAGGGTGCCTGCGCGGGGGACTTGCCTGGGGCGCCTTCCTTGGATGCCTGCCTGGGGTGCCTGCATGGAGGGCCTGCATGTGCGCCTGCTTCGGGCGTCTGCCTGAGGTGCCTGTCTGCAGCAATACAATGCAATCCAATACGGTCGCTCGTCTGCCAGGGCAACACAATACAATGAAATGGGGCGCACTTCGCATACATGCGGACTCGATTGGACAGGACACGCGAGAGGACACAATACCATCCCGAGGGCCACATGGCCACAGGAATGCAGGAGGCACGCGTCACGAGACACAGGACACGAACGTACCCTTGACCTGGCAAAGTCGACCAACTAATCCGGGCCGACTGTAGCGCACCGTGCACCAGCACAACGGCTTGTGGGGATCATGCGCGCACGGAATATTGTGTTGCCTCCCGCAAGGAACATGATCCCGCGTCCCGGAGAAAGTATTGTATCGTATTGTGTTGATGCGGTTTGCCTCCTGCCTGCCCCTGGGGTGAATATTGCGCCCCACGAGGAATCTTGTGTTGCATCGCCTCGTTCCAGGACTCCTGTCCCGAAGGCACCAGGCACGCAAGCGCCCCCCCCCCCCCCCCAGACAGCCCCCACGATGGTTTTCTGACCATGGGCGGCCGGGGGCGCGACCAGAAACATATCCAAAAAAAGGGCCCACCCATGCACAAGCGTGAATACCCCAAAAAAGGCAGGACAAGAAATAACACCTTCTTGCGCAGCCACGGAATGTGTGTGTGGTGTGTGCCGAAGCGGGCGCGGCGCCCACATGTGAGCTCTGCAAGTGGGGCTTTCGGTGGAGCTGCCTAAAGGTCCACGAAACGGGCGTGGAGTGTGCCGAAGTGGGCGCGTTGCCCACATTCGGACAGTGTTTCTTAAGTCTTCGGTGGATATCCGGATGGGGCCACACATCGTGTGCGGGGTGTGCCGAAACGAGCGTGGGGTCCACATGTGGACGGTGCCTTCGGCGGAGCTTCCTGCAGAGCCCAAAAACACGAAACGTGTGAGGGGTGCGCCGACACGGGCGGGACGCCCACATGTGGACGGTGCCTTCGGGTGCCTTCGGTGGAACGCCCTACGGGGCCACGAAGCGGTGAGGTTTCTCCGGGGGCCCTCGGTGCCCCTGGGGCCCTCGGTGGAGCCTCCTACGTGGTCACGAAACGTGTGAGGGTGCGCCAGGACACGCGTGACGCCTACATGTGGACGGTGCCCACGTATTTCAGCCTGTGGCCCTCGTAGCTCAGGAAGTCGCCCTTGTAGCTATGCTGGTGACTCCTGGAGCTCAGCTGGTGGCCCTGCTACCTCAGCGGGTGGCCTTCGTAGCTCAGCTTGCGGTACTGTAGCCCGGCCTGTGGCCTTTGTCTCAGCTCGCGCCCCTCGTAGCTCAACATATGGTTTTTGTAGCTCAGCGCGTGGGCCTCGCAGCTCAGCTGGTGGTCCTCGAAACTCTGCCCTTGGCCCTTGCAATTCAGCACGTCGGCCTGGTAGCTGGATGGGGAGCTCCCGTAGCTCTTCTTGTGGCCGCGTAGCTCCGACTGTTGCCCTCGTAGCTCGACCGGTGGCCCTCGTAGCTCAGCTGGTGGTCCTCGTAGCTCTGCCAGTGGTCCTCGTAGCCCTGCTTGCGGCCATCGCGGCCCGATGCCTGGTCCTGGTAGCTCAGCCCGTGGCTCTCGAAGCTCTGGTGGTGGCTATCGTGGCTCAGCGGCTGGCCCATCGTAGCTCCGCTGGTGGCCTTCGTAGCCAGGAGGTGCAGGTTGTGATGGCACGGCGCCTGGCGAGGAAATTCTCGCACGCCAGCGCGGCCGTCGCGAAGGCGTCGAGCTCTTCCTTCAGGCTGTGCTCCTCGTCGTCTGCCTACTTGGCCCCCTCTTCATCTACCTCCGCCTCCCCGCGGTCCAAGTCGGAGTCGTCGGCTGCCAGGTCGTCGCACTCCACCCCTAGTTGCCACGAGGAGACGATGAGGAGGAACCTGAGGAAGATGGGACCAGCGAGGGCAAGTCTGGCTCTTCCTCGCCTGGTGGCTCTCGAAACTCTTTTTCTTGCTGTCCTATCTCTGCTGCCGGCCCTTCAAAACCAGAAGGTTGGTATCCGTTGATCATGTGCAGGGCGACCCAATCTCGTAGAAGTACGCGACCCTATTCGTGGCTGTGTTATTCGTTGAGCTGGTTGTGTTGGTCGTGTTGGTCGCACGGGAAATCGTATTGGTCCAAACGGGTACCCCTACGCCTCTGGGGATGGAGGTTCTGAAGATGGCGTCGGCGTCCCCAATCTCCCGCCACTGGGTGCCTGACCGTACGGCTTCACCTCACTGCACTCCGCCGCCGCACGACCATCATCATTGGCGCACTTGGTGTCATATTTGCCAGACCACACCCACGTTTCGCAAGTATCGCGACGCCGTTTTCGGGCGAGACGGCGTGCATATATAACACCACATCATTATGCTTCGTAGGCTCGTTCGTGCGCTGTAGATGTAGGACCGCCCTGACGTTGGGCACCCCCCCGATGCCATGGCAGCGCCCTTGCTCCCCCTGCTCCTCCTGCTCCTCCTGCTTCTGCTCCTGCTCCTGCTCCTGCTCCTGCTCCTGCTCCTGCTCCTGCTCCTGCTCCTGCTCCTCCTCCTCCTACTCCTCCTCCTGATCGCGTCCGTCTCCTCCTCCTCCTCCTCCAACTTCCTCCTCCTCCTCCTCCTCATCCTCGTCTTGGTCGTGGTCGTGGACCCGGTCGTGGTCGTGGTCGTGGTCGTGGTCGTCGCCCCCTCCCTGGCAGAGAGAATTCGGAGAGGGCGGAGCAGGCCCGCAGGCCCAGCATGTGCACCTGCGCGACGGCGGGCAGCGGCTCCCCGGCGAACCTCGGCGGGCGTCGCTCGCCGCCGTCGGCAGCGTCGACGTCGGCGTCGGCGGCGTCGGCGGCGGCGTCGACGTCGGCGTCGCTGTTGCTGCCGCTGCTGCCTGCTGCCTGCTGCCTGCTGCCTGCTGCCTGCTGCCTGCTGCTGCTGCCTGCTGATGCTGCTGCTGCTGCTGCTGCTGCTGCTGCTGCTGCTGCTTTGGACACGTCTGCGCGGACAAGCTTCGATGTGACCACCTGTACAAGAGAGGTGCACCAGCGATCCACTATTGGGACGCTGGTGCGGTAGCGGAGGAGACGAGCACCGCAGTGGCTCGCCCCAAGAGGACTGCAATCCGCTGCCACCAATCGCGGAGCGGCGACCGTGCACAACCCGTGCCACGGAGATGGCTCTGGTGCCGGGTGAGGCTTGCCAGCTGTTGCAGCAGACGCGTCAGCTGCGGCCCGTGGCGGCCGCCGAATTCAAGTGCAAGGCCTTGCACGCTGGTGCCGCCTCGAGCTGCATATTTTGTTACTTTCGCAGCCTCGGCAGCGGTCGCGCCAGCACCGGCGGTCGCCGAATGGCCGCGGCGGTTGTGTGTGCTGACGACTGTGAAGTCCCCGTGGAAAATTGGGAGCGAGCAGTGGCCCCAGAGCTGCACGTCCACGCGCGGCTCACGCATGGTTGCCGTGGCCAGCTCTGGAAGCACGACCTCGCGTGTGGCTGCAAGGCCGGCTGTGCGAGCGCACGCCGCGAGCTCGTCGCAGACTCCATCATGCAGACGGTTGTGGGCTCCACCGATCATGCAAGATATCGCGTGATCTCCAAGCTCGTCGAGTGCGTGGCCACAGACCCTTCCAGCACGCGTGCGGTGCTGACAAAAACACGCAACGCCGAAAAGCGGGAGCCGGAGACGCCGGCGGAAATTGATGCGGAACTCATCGTCCGACCAAGGGGCCAAATCCCCAGTGGCGTTGGCTGTGAAACCAAGCCCGCCTTCCGGGCCGCCTCCGGACAGCCAGTGTTTCCGCTGCTCAGGCGTCCCTGCAGAAAGTACGGCATCGGCCGCTCGGAGCATCCACAATTTACGACGGTGCCGCAGCGCTGCGCCTGCAGCTACCGCGTGCTCGAGCGAAAATGTGTGGGCACCTGTTTGCGCATCAGGCTCCGGCTGCGGCATCCCCCACGCGTCGAGGAATACGCCGCTCGCCGCCAACCGGCCAAGGCAATCTCTGGCAGCAGCGAGCATGCCGGAGCGCTCGTACCCTACGCGGCGGCGTCGGCGGCGTCGGCGGCGGCGTCGACGTCGGCGTCGCTGTTGCTGCCGCTGCTGCCTGCTGCCTGCTGCCTGCTGCCTGCTGCCTGCTGCCTGCTGCTGCTGCCTGCTGCTGCTGCTGCTGCTGCTGCTGCTGCTGCTGCTGCTGCTGCTGCTGCTGCTGCTACCTGCGCGCGAGGAAGTGTCAGCGCTTGGACACTGCCCACCCCCGCGGGAAAGCGCCACATTTGCGTGGCGGGCGTGCAAAGTCAGCAAGAACCTCGCAAGGCGTGTCGAAGGCGAGGGAAGGGGGGTGCGGGGGCGCAGCCGGGCGGGGGGAACTCGAGCCCCAGCTCCTGGCCCTCGGCGGAGAGCTCCAGTACGGCCATCTCCAGGACCTCGCTCGCTGGGCTGGGGTAGCGGGAAGCCCTCCTCCTCCTCCTCCTCCTCCTCCTCCTCCTCCTCGCCCCCCCCCATGCTTGGATAGCAGGGGCCCCGTCAACGACTCGGGGTTAGCCGGGGCACCCCCCGATGGTGGAACCAGCGGGGCGGTCGGCGCCTGCTGAAGGTCGGGAAATGTAACCAGTAGCGGCCACTGGGTAGAGGCCGTGGGCGACCGACCCAAGGACCGGCAGAAGCGGGGCCCTCTTTCAGGGCTAGGGGTGCGTCCCCCCCGGGGCAGAGGGGTAGGCCGCAGGGGTAATGTGCCCCTCCCCTACTCCTTCCTCCTGGCTCCTCTTCTCCTCCCCCTCTCCCCTCTCCTCTCCTCCCCCCAAGGTTCATAGCCCCACTGCGGCCCACTCCCCCGCCGGGGCTAGGACCGGAGGCCCCCGCGACGGCGGCCAGTGCTCTGGAGAGCGCGGAGCGCCAACGCCGCCGATGCGGGGGGAGCGCGGAGCGCAGTGGATGATGTTTCGGCTGCGCGCCGTTTTGCAGGAGGCCCCCCCAAGACCTCAGGCGAGGGGGGTCTCGATTTTCGTCGGCTCCGCACTCGTGCTTATTGCGGAGCAGATCAGGCAGGCAACACCCCGAGGCAACATTCTCCTCCTCCTCCTCCTCCTCCTCCTCCTCCTCCTCCTCCTCCTCCTCCTCCTCCTCCTCCTCCTCCTCCTCTCCTAATGCTCGTCCGTAGCCACCCCGACTTCGTCGAGCGAAGAACGCAGCGGCAGTCGTTTCCTCCTCGTGCTCATCTTCCTACTCCATCCTCACGCTCCTCCTCCTCTATACAGAAACTCCTACCTGCTGCTCCTCCTCCGGGAGCTCCTGCTCCTGTCAGCTGCTGCTGCTGCTGCTCCTTCTCCTCCTCCTCCTCCTACATCCCTCTCCTGGTCGTGCGCGAGGGGGGGAAGGGAGATGGCGCTCCAGTCGCGCACACTCGTGGCAGCACTGGTCTCGACAGGGACAGCCCGTGGCGGCCACCAGTTGTCCCTGGTATCCTCTCCCCTTCCTCACTCTGGTCCTTCCCCCTCCTTTTCCTCCCTCCTCCTCCTCCTCCTCCTCCTCCTCCTCCTCCTCCTCCTCCTCCTCCTCCTCCTCCTTTTCTTCCTCCAACTTCCTCCAATATCATCCCTCCATCCTCCTCCTTCCTCCTCCTCCTCCTCCTCCTCCTCCCTCTCCTCTTTCCCATCCTCCTCTTACCCCTTCCTCCTCCTCCTCCTCCTCCTCCTCCTCCTTCTCCTCTTTCCCATCCTCCAGTTACCCCTTCCTTTTCCTCCTCCTTCTCCTCCATGCTCCACTTTCTCTATCCCCCCTTCATCCATCCCTTCTCCTCTGCACATACCCTGCCCCCCTTCTGTGGAAAATCATGGGAGCTTCCCATGTCATCCTGCTGGCTCTTGCGAATCGACGCCTATCAACGCCCATCGGCACTGAATCGGCGCATGCCCATCTATTACCAGACGATGGCGCATGCTCAGACGCTTTTAAGACAGGATTTCAAGGAAAAACAAGCCGCCCATGAATTGATGCCGACCTCCCCCCCCCCCCCCCCGACATCACGAGCGACGAACATATCCGTATCCGCGCCCTCGCGGTCTGGATGCTGGGGCGCGATCCTTTGGACACGCGGTCGCACAGATAAAATCCGCGCGGCGCATCAGCGGGGGGAAAAAAAACGCACTGTATGCGCAGAGTCGCGGCACAGGAGCCCGCGAACCGTCAACAACTGATGAACCACGTTCGTGGTGGACGAGGATGAGGAGGGAGAGGAGAAGGATGCCGATAACGACGACAACGACTACGACGACGCTTCAGTGTGGGATGAGGAGGAGAGACGCGTTCCCTGAGGCGCGCCGAGTCCGTCCGCCAGCCAGGCGACTGCCCAGCCACCCTCCATCAGTGTGTCAGAGCCCTCACTCCAGCACACCTCGTCGCTGACAGGCGCAGGCGTCCCTTCAGGAATTTCACTCCCCGAGGGTGAGACAATAAATCACGAGCACGCAAATCATTGAAACTAGTGAGCACTAAGTCAGCAGCGACAGCAGTGGCATGAAACTCGCCAGTGCAAAAATACTCTCTAGTGTACATAGCAAAGCACGCCCTAGGGTCACACTTGCCCCACCAGTCAGGAAGAGTGGGAAGACAACGCTTCACTACTGGAACTACATAAGGGCAAGAAAAGTAATGTAATATATCATCAGCGCCACTACGACCGAAACGACATCCTTTACACGCTTGGCGATAACGAAGAGAAGAATGCATAGCATTGCACATGCATATGATGATACTCAGACCACTCAAGCAGGGATATGTGTGACCCAGCTTGCACAAACGTAGAATAGCCAGGGATATCTGGTCGGGCGTGATGTGCACGTTCCAATACCTGAGACGGGCACCTATCTTCTCCTGCAGGGGTTCAAACGGGGACAATTCAAGGACGACTTTTTTTTGAGCTCTCTCTGGATTTTCGGACACCCGAGAACACCATCATCCCAAGGGCGATTCTGGATATTCCGAGGAAGACTCCATACATAGTTCTATACATCAATCATCTGTTTCAGGGGGGAGTGTTGATAAAACTTGTTGGGCCTCCATCCCAAGATTAGGTCATCCCCCTCCCATGCCTCCTCCAACTCCACTTTACATCCCGAGAAGATCGGAGACCTTGCGGCATTCCTGTAGAGTGCAGCTCGCACTTCGTGCCACAAGGAGCGAGCGCTCCAGCTGTTGCTGAAGATATTCTTAAACTGGAACAAGACCGCATTCGGAATAGCATATCTCGGGCATGCTGTCAAGATCTGGAGGCCGCCCCTCTCGGCGCCAGTGGCTTCTTTTGGGGGGGCAAAGAAAGAGGCGATGAACAGGAGGGCGGAGATGGCGATGGAATTGCATGACATAATAGCTTGATGGAGGCCTCCAGCGAGGGAGTGGATGAAACGGCAGCGCTCGAGATAATTGGCGATCGGACTAGACCAGGAGCGTGCGACACTTCTGTGGCCCGGGTGGATGCCGAAATACTTGCCCCAATTCTGAATTGTAAACTTACGAGCGCGAATACCCTGGTCCTGGAATCTCCTCAACTCCTCCTCCCGGTCGACCTCCTGCCTGTAGAAGACAATGACGCATTTGGCAAGGTTCATCACTAGGCCTGCGCCAGGATACGCATCAGCACTGGCAGGGCTGTGTGCAAGTCCTGCGAGAAGAAGGCCATGTCGTCGGCGAGCGCGCTCAGCGAGCGCTGAGGGCTCGGCAGTCTGCTCTGAATCTGGCGCAGCACTGGATCGAGATAAAAGACGCATATACTTCCTGACATCGGGCGCCCCTGACGAACCCCACGGCCGATCTCGAACCCAGGAAACCGACGGCCCCCCAGGAGCATGCCCACGGAGATTTTGCCGTGCAGAGCTCTGACGGAATTCAAGAAAAAGTCTGGAACACCCATGGTAGTCAACGCGGACTCGATCCAGAAATGCAATGAACTCGGGAAAGCCGCCTTCGCATCCAGGAGGGCGGAGCATGCGCTCTTGATGCGCTGCAAGATGCCATATCGCAACATGTTGCACTCGAGCATCAAAATGTTGTCAGACATCTGACGGGTGCGGACGAAGCCGTTCTGGGCCTCGCTGGCGCCTAATTCGCACTGGTCGGCGAGGGCTCCGTTCAAGCCCGAGCCTAAGATCTTCGCATCCGTGTTACTCAATGTTATCGGACGTACATTATCGGGGGCACGCCAGAAGCTATTCACATCTTCTTGGTGGGAGCCTTTGGGGATAAATACCATCAAACCATTGTGGAAGTCCTCGGCGAGAGGGGCGCCTGTCTGGAAGTGACAGTAGAGATCATATAGAGCATGAATAACAAATTCACCTCCGTATTTCCAAGCAGAGTAGCAGAGCCCGTCTGGGCCAGGAGCACAATCCCGAAAGCGGCTGATCATGTGGTGGGAACGTTCCCGTGATTGCTGCCATTCGACTGCAGGGTGGACGGGCTGGATAAACGGGTCAAGCTCGGCGGCGACCTCGCGAGATGCTCCATCAGCACTATGTACTTCGGCCCAGCGGTGGCGAAGCGCATCCGCGCCTACTTCAAGCGAAGGGAAATGTGACCCGTCAGGCGCACGAATTCCAGCGAGAGCCATCTTGCGGTTCCGAGGGGCCCAGGGTTGTACTAATCTTTGAATCTTGGCCATCCGCGCATCTCGAAAACGTTCGGGGGCGAATTCCTGCATCAACTCCTTCCTCTCTTCCTCAAGACCTCCTCTAGCCACCTCTCCCATGAGTTGATGAAATCCATGCCTATCGATCCACATGCAGGTGTCCCTATCTATGAACGGGGCGAGCTTCGGCCAAATCTTAAAGGCAGGCTTGATCACGTGCTCGCGCCTGCTGTGCATGGCGCGATAGATGGTAAATAGCCATGGCAGATGCTGAGCGGCAGTCTCAAGAAAAAAAGGTTTGGTCTGCTGACGAATACGCGTAGCTCCAAGATGCGTACACTCTTTCATTTCTTTAACTCTGGTAGAGGGGTCCTCCGAGAAACCGACATCATCGATCACATGTTGTAGAGCGGCAGGATGCCAACGATGCTTAGGGATCCAAGAAGGAACATAAGGATCTGAAGAGGGTCCAGAGAGCCCCAGAGAGGAATACGGAGCAGTATTCACTGGGGGGCCGAAGATCACATACATCCCAGACTGTGCCTGTTTGTGGATGATAGTCACACACGTCGGCTGTGTATGAGTTTGTGAAGATTCTGTCGATACGGGTTCACGCTTTGACGGTCCGTATGCCATTGTTCTCGGTAGTGATCCCGTGGGGGGGGGGGGGGGGGGAGCTGCTCTACCTCTAGCATGTCGGGGAACTAAACTTCAAAGAAGCGCGCGAGGCCGTCGATGCCCACCTGGTGGATCTCGCCACTCACATGCTGAATGCCCTCGCCTGGGGCCGAGAAGTTGAAATCGCCCAACAGAAACGTCTGGGCCTGCGCTGGTGGAGGCGTCGCCTGACGGATCCTCAGAAGTAGCTGACGCTTCCCAGTTCTGCTCAACTTGGGATCTATGTGGATATTGATGAAGCAAACCTCGCCAGACTCTGCCTGGGCGGGAATTCCATGGCAGCGACCAGGGGCGACCTCGAAGGGTCAAATGTCCCGAAGTTTGGCCGGGATGGCAGGGTGGATGGCCAGGGGCATTCCCGCCCGAATGTGCGAGCGAGGGTCGAGCGAGCCGTAGTTCCCATGATGAGGTAATTCATTTTCGATGGCGACGAGGTCCCCTTCGCGCCCGTGGGTTTCTTGGACCCCGACAATGCTGGGATGTGCACGAAGCGAGTGGAGACGAGAGTGTTCCCCAGCAATAATTTCATCATGTCCGCGAGTAGACCCAAATAGCCCTTGCGAATTCCAAGCAGTAACTTTGAGGCCCGAGGAACCATAGAGCCCAGAGAGGGGAGGGGGACTGGCGGGAGACCCGCTACAACAACTATCTTCAGAATCAGAGGAGGAAGAGGAGGAGGGCGCAGAGGAAGAGGGAGTACAGCTGTGCTGCTGACTCAAACTCAGATCAAGTCCCGACTGGGCCACAAAAGGCCCGATCCCCAAGGCGGGAAGATCATTGTACATTGCTACAAAGCTAGACGGTGGCAAGGCTGGCTCCTAGATGAAGCCGTCGCTGGAGGTGCCCGTCGCGACCTGGATGAGCTTGTTGGCATCGTCGATGCTGATCCCCCACTCCTGGAGGTTGTCGATGTGCGGCTGGATGATGTACTGGTTGTCGCTCTCCTCGATCGTCTGGAAGAGCACCCAGTGGTCGTCCATGCTGGTGTCGATTATGCAGAACTCGCCGCGAGCTCCGTTGACCCCGAGCTTGTTGGAGTCGATCGTCCACTTTCCTATGATCTGGAGCTTGCTGAGGACGTGGGGCCATAGACGAGACAGCGTGCGCTGCCGAAGCCGTGCTTGAAGTGGCATATCTGGCCGAACGCGGAGAGGTGCCATTCTTTTGTGCGAGGATCGAACCACCCAGGTAGGTGTTCACTGGCCCAGGCGCGCAGGTTCTTTGCGTGCTGGTCATTCTCGCAGTGGATGCTGTACGACATAAATACTTTGTGAAGCTTTGCGGATAGCTCCGTGCCAAGGGTCGGCTCGGTCTCCGCGATCTTCTGCTTGACTGCTTCGAAATGGTTGCGACGATGACTCTCTAGAATAGCACGTGGGAAGCCCCCAACCCATATTCGACAAGGGTCGATCTCATCATGACCCGCATTGGGCGGAGGGGGGCCTGCCTCTGTGCGCCTCATCCTAACTCTTGAGGCTGATGAGGGCGCTGTAGAAATAGTGGGTGCTGGACGAGACAGGGAGTTGAGCTGCTTCTGATGCGACGCGACCTTCCCATCTATCATGGCTTGAATCCTGCTGAACTTCTCGGGGTCCTCCATCTGCTCGTCGGGAGATTCATGTTGTGTGCGCTTCTCCTCAATGCACTGCTCAAAACCATGGAATCGAGCCTCCCATGAAGTGCTTATACCCGTGATCATGGACTGCATGTCCTCGTAGGTCTTGGTCTGTGCCTCGCTCAAAACCCCGATCGATGTCTCCATTGCTGCAGCACGATTCTGGTAGGAGTCGATCGCGGCGCGCATGGTGGGCAGCTCGGATGACAACTGCGCTGACTGGTTGTGTACGACTGCCGTGAGCGCCTGAAGCGCAGCAGCGTCCGCCATGGCGAGAAAGGCGGCGAAATTCTTCTGATTCAGAAGGCAAAATGCTCGCGAGAATCCTTCCTCCACCCTGGGCAGGGCCACTGAACGGAGGGAACCCAATGTGGTCAACCTGGGCCAACCTCGAGAGATGTATTACTTGAGCCAAAATGGCTACAAATGTATGGGAGGAGGAGGAGGAGGAGGAGGAGGAGGAGGAGGAGGAGGAGGAGGAGGAGGAGGAGGAGGAAGAAAAAAAAAGGAAACGCAGGCCAGGCCCGCGGGGCCGCGGATGCGGCTGTGTTTCCCGCCCACAGCGACCCCCTCCGCACCGACGCGGGGAGAGGGCCCCGCCAGGGCCTCGGCCACCCGCGCCACGGCCGAGACCGTGAGCTCGCAGCGCTTCTCCGGCAGCCGCCCCCGCGCTGGCATCACGCACCTCCCCGGGGCGGGTCGGGAACGTCCTAGAGGGGGGCGCCCACGAGGAGGGTTCGCAAATCATGGCCCGTCTCCCGCCTGATATTTCCCCCATATTCAGGACTCAGGAACCCAAAAATGACGAAGGTTACAAGATTTCGATGACCCGCTCGAATTCGTAACATGATCTGCGAACCCCTTAGGGAGGGGGCTCCCGCCTGGGACTTCCCCGCAGGTCACTCACAGACGAGGCTCCCGCCTGGTACCTCCTCAAGTGTGGGTGGCTTTGTGAGTGAGTGAGTGAGTGAGTGAATGATGATTATGATTATGATGATGACGATGACGATGACGATGACGATGATGATGATGATGATGATGATGATGATGATGATGATGATGATGATGATGATGATGATGATGATGAGGATGAGGATGAGGAGGAGGAGGAGGAGGAGGAGGAGGAGGAGTGTGATGATGAGTGAGAGACGGTGTGAGCGAGGAGCTGGGTGATGAGGAGGAGACAGAGGGGGTGAGGGGTGAGGGGAGAGATAGTGGGTGAGGGCGCGGGGTGTCCAAAGAAAATTACTCCGACGGTAAGACCCCACATAAGAATATGTTTTCCTTGCCTGGGGATCTTCCCGTGCCCCCTCGCTTCTCCCACCTACTCCTGCCTCCTCCTTTTCCTCTTTCCTCCTCCTCCTCCTGCCTCAACCCTGCCTCCTCCTCTTGCGTCGTCCACCACCACCACCTCCTCCGCCTCCTCCTCCTTTTCCTCCTCCTCGTTATGCCTCCTCCCCCCATCCCCCATGCTCCTCCTGCCTCCTGCGTCCTCCTCCTCCTCCTGCTGCATTCCTTCTCCCTCCTCCTCCTTCTCCTCCTTCTCCTCCTTCTCCTCCTCCTCCTCCTCCTCCTCCTCCACCTCCTCTCTCCATCTTCCTCTTCTCCCTCTCCCTCCTCCGTCTCCACCTCCTCCTCATCTCCATCTTCCCCCCCTCCTCCTCTGCCTCCCCCTCCTCCTGTTTCCATATTAGGTGTCCCGCCTCCTCCTGGGGACTCTTGGGGCCTCTTGGGGCCTCCTGTAGCCTTCTAGGCCTCCCGGGACATCCTGGGGCCTCCTAGGGCACTCCTCTTCCTCCATGTCCTCCTCGTCCTTTTCGCCCTCGGACTCTTGGGGCCTCTTGGGGCCTCCTGGAGCCTTCTACTAGGCCTCCCTGGACATCCTGGGGCCTCCTAGGGCACTCCTCTCCCTCCATGTCCTCCTCGTCCTTGTCGCCCTCTGTTTCCTCCTTTTCCTCCTCCTCCTCCTCCTGCTTTTCCTCCTCGTCTCCATCTTCCCCCCCTCCTCCTCTGCCTCCCCCTCCTCCTGCTTCCATATTAAGTGTCCCGCCTCCTCCTGGGGACTCTTGGGGCCTCCTGTAGCCTTCTAAGCCTCCGGGGACATCCTGGGGCCTCTTAGGGCACTCCTCTTCCTCTAAGCGCCGGAGGACGACCCAAAATAAGCGCGCGCTGGAGGACGACCCGGAGGAAACACGAGAGGTACGGGCCCCATAGGGACGGGGGTTCCCGCCTGAGCCTTCCTCACAGTTCACTCACAGTCGAGGCTCCCGCCTGATACCTCCCCCATATTCAAGCCTCAGGAGCGCAAAAATGACGACAGATACATGTTCGAGGATGACCCGTTCGGATTGCCAACATGACCTGCGGGCCCCATAGGGAGGGGGCTTCCACCTAAGACTTCCTCACAGCTCACTCACAGACGAAGCTTCCGCGTGGTGCTTCCTACAGATTCAGGCCTCAGGAGCCCAAAAGTGACGACAATTACAAAATCGAGGATGACCCGCTCGGATTACCAACGTGACCTGCGGGCCCCATAGGGAGGGGGCTCCCGCCTGAGACTTCCTCACAATTCACTCACAGACGAGGCTCCCGCCTGATACTTCCCCCATATTCAGGCCGCAGGGACGAACGTTACAGGTTCGAGGATGATCCGCTCGGATTACCAACATGACCTGCGGGCCCCATAGGGAGGGTGCTCCCGCCTGAGACGTCCTCACGGTTCACTCACAGATGAGGTTCCCGCCCAATACGTCTCCCATATTCAAGCCTCAAGAGCTCAAAAGTGACGACACTTACAGGTTCGAGGATGACCCGCTCGGATTACCAACGTGACCTGCGGGCCCCATATGATATTTCCTTAGAGTTCACTCACAGACGAGGCTCCCGCCTGATACGTCCCCCATATTCAAGCCTCAGGAGCCCACAAATGACGACAGTTACAGGTTCGAGGATGACCCGCTCGTATTACTAACGTGAAAACGCATGCCCCATAGGGAGGGGGCTCCGGCCTGAGACTTCCTCGCAGTTCACCCACCGACGAGGCTCCCGCCTTATATTTCCACCATTTTCAAGCCTCAGGAGCCCAAACATGACGACAATTACAGGATCTGGATGACCCCTTTCGATTAATAACATGATCTGCGGACCCCATAGGGAGGGGGCTTCCGCGTGAGAGTTCCTCGCAATTAACTCGCAGACGAGGCTCAAGCCTTTTACGCTGGCTCAAGGCTCAAGCCTTTTACGCTGGCGCAAATTTTTGGCTCAAGCCTTTAACGCTGGCTCAAGGCTCAAGGCCACTCGAGGGCTTGGCTCAAGAGCGCTCCTGCTCCGATACCGAGCTCACCCTGCTCACATCCGATACCCTTACTTCACTTTTCCCTCACATCCTACCGTTTGCCCTATCATCTGTTTCTCTCTTCTCTGCCCATTGCGGACCGACGCCTGCCATGCCGGCGAGCGCGCGGCAGCCAGGCACCCCAGTGCGTGGAGTGCTAGGCGAACGTGAAGTCCGGCAACGCCTTTTCAGTCCACTTCACGAAATGGACGGCCTGGATCATTCTCCGCCACGTCCGGTGGAGGTGCAGATATCTACACCGGCAGCTCCAGGTACCCCGCCCGAGGCATTGGCAGATGAACGTTCCTCAGGAGCATCTCGGCCTACCTTGTCTCAGATTGCGGAAATCGTGAAACAACAGATCCAACCCGTGCAAAATTCGATTTTGGGTTTGGAGCGGGCAATGTCGGATTTGGGAGGTTCGCTTGAGTCGAGAATGGCATCCACAGAGACTCGTGTTGAGGACATCGAAATCCGCATGGCGAGCATCGAGAATGAAATGCCCACCGACTCGAGGGGCTCCGGCGCAGGGTCCCAGACGGAGGAAAAAGTCCGGGAACACATCAAATCATTTGAGGACGAGCTCGCGAACTTCAAACTGGCAACATCCATGCCGACAGCGACCCCATCAGTGGACAATTCACGCTCTCTTACTGCCGTCGTCGGCGGCCTGAAAGACTGTGGAAACACCGACGACGCCTGCAAGTTGGTCGGTGACGCTCTTTGGAGCAAGTGGGCACCCTATCCTGTTGACCACTACGTCAAGGGCGAGTTCACCGGCATCCTCTTCTTGAAGTTTACTTCTAAATTCGACTGGGACATCGCAGTGAAGACCCTCAGGGAGGCAAACATCCAGCACGGCTCCCACAACGTCTGGGCCAAACTGGATCTTCCTTTCGCTGTGCGTATGCACCAGTCGTTTCTTTTCAGCGTCAAGCGCATGATGACTGCCTGGACTCTCCTTGTGGCGTGTTTTGCGAGATGCATGGGCACCGGAGCTCCGGTGGCGTTCTGGAGCCTCCGGTGACCCTAGACAATCGACGCCCACAACGCGACGCCGCGACCACGCGGCGCCGCGACAACGCGAGGCCGCGACAACACATGACGCGAAACCACGACGCAGCGAAGCCGCGTCACCCGCGCGCGCGTGCGGAGTTCTGCATTGTTAACAATTGAAAAGTGGCCATGGTGGCATGGAAACTAAAGTGAACCTTTAGCGGTGACCGAAAGGATTTTGGGTGACCCGCGCGGTGGTGGGTCACCCGCGCGCGACATGTAATTCCAAAAACTGAATTTGAAATTTCTATGGCCTTTTAAGGAGGCCCACGAATGTGTCGACTTTTCTGTTGTGTACGAACTCGCCACGCGCGCGCGTGCGGAGTTCTGTATTGTTAACAATAATAAACGCCGCCATGTAATTCCAAAAACTGAATTTGAAATTTCTGTGGCCCTTTAAAGAGGCCGACGAATGCGTCGATTTTTCTGTTGTGAACAATACAGAATTCGCCACGCGCGCGTGCATTGTCGACAATTTAAATGCCGCCATGTAGTTCCAAAAACTGAATTTGAAATTTATGTGGCCCTTTAAGGAGGCCGTCGAATGTGCCGACTTTTCTGTTGTGGACAATACAGAAATCGGCACGCGCGCGCGTGCATTGTCGACAATATAAATGCCGCCATGTAATTCCAAATACTGAATTTGATATATATATATATATATTTATATATATATATATGTGGCCCTTTAAGGAGGCCGACGAATGTGCCGGCTTTTCTGTTGTGGACAATACAGAACTCGCCACGCGCGCGCGTGCGGAGTGCAGTGATGACAATATGGATGCCGCCATGCATTTCCAAAAACTGAATTAGAAATTTCTGTTGCCCTTTAAGGAGGCCGACGGGCGGGCCGATGGTGGGCAATACAGAACTCGCCACACGCGCGCGGACGCGGACGCGCGCGCGCGTGCGGAGTCCAGTATTGCAGACAATTCAGTGATTGCGCTGCAATTCCAAAAACTGAATTTGAAATTTCTGTGGCCCTTTAAAGAGGCCAACGGACGGGCTGACTATTCTGTTGTGCGCAATACAAAATTCGCAACGCGCGCGTGCGGAGTTCCATGTAATTCCAAAAACTGAATTTGAAGTTTCTGTGGCCCGACGGACGGCCCGACGTGTTTGTTGTGGACAATGCAGAACTCGCCACGCGCGCGCGTGCGGAGTTCTGTACTTGTCCACAGTAGAAAAGTCGACATGTAATTCTAAAAAAACTATATTAGATTTTTGTTGGGGGAGGCCTCAAGGGAGGCCGAGGTGACACGTCTCCCGCGCGCGGGTGACCACGCCGTCGTCGT